GGGGGGAAACATCTGCACATATACGTGCAAATTGGAATTTTGCAGATGTAGGTCCTAAATACAACGTCATAAACGCGGTTTTCAAAAAAAAAAAGGAAGTAAAGGATGAAGAAATTGGGCAGAGTGACAACCGATTCCTGATTTTTTCTCTAGGAATGGTAATTTTCAGGAAGGAGAGAAGAGGAGCAAGAAGCCGACGGTGAGCATTATCATCATCAGTCTGAAAAGAAACATCTCGTGAAAAGACGAGCAGCTCGGAATGTGTAGAACATAGGACAGTGCAAGCTCTTCGAGGACTTGGCTTTGAAGTGTCCGAACACTTGAGATAGGTCGACCTAAACACAATCACGAGACAAATAGCTTATTTGTACCATCGTGGAGCCGTCTTCGCCAGTTAATGTGAAATGACGGAAATACGCTTGAAATATTATCCGAATCTGAAGAGAACTGGAAAAAGACAGAAGGAAAGTCCAGACTTCTCCAAGGAAGTGGTGGTGCCTTTAAAACGGATCTTCAGCAAGGTCGATACGGAGCTGATAACGATAAGCGATAAGCACTTCTGGATACAGATATCTCGCCGTCCTTCGGTGGAATCACCGTGTTTCAGATGAACTCTGCTGCGTAGGAATGAGAGCTGAACTGATTTGGTGGGGGTGATTTATAGGGCTGCTTATGTATCAGAACGAGTCTCCATCGGTACAAAACATTCGCGATAGAGGCACCTTCCGGATAACAATTCATAAAAAGTGATACAACCCAGCGTTGGTTCTTCTTCTTCTACGTCGTGATTGAGATAAATATAGATAGATGTACATGATTAATTACCGGTTATTGCAAAGGGAGGAGATCGTTTGCCTGCAATGTGGAGTCCTGAAATTCTTCTGCCTTTTATCTTGGGCTACTAGTTTCTGTCATCTGATGTTCCGTCACTGATGATCTTTAGATCCCTAATTCCTACTGGGTAAAAAATGGATTCCTACCCTTTGTGGGCGAACGAGTAGGACGAGGACCTCACTAGACTATGGCAGAATTTCTGAGGACAGCGTCAATTTCACCATACGACCCACGATTCCGATTCGAAATTCTGCCGAATTCCCCTGGAGGCCCCCTGTAGAAAGTCCGTAACAATCAGTAAGCACAATCGTCGACTGAAGAGAGGTATACTTTGCGGAAAGCGATAGAGCAAAATCCAAACAGGGACATATTCCATGCTTGAGTCTCTATTTGAAAGATCCCCTCCTCTTGCGGTCCTTCATGGTGCTTTTGTTGATTGAGCCAAGTAGTTAACTACCAATGAATTTGTGAAAGAATGTCTCAGTTGGAGTTTCGGACAGCGTAAAACAGAGCTATCGGAGTTGCTACAAGTGATTAGAAAAGTATGAAGGACCCGAATGAAGAATCATAGAACTACGTTATCGTGGAATTTGGAGTCATGCAAAAGACGATCGATCGATACGTATATTATGCACGTGGTGGTTTCCGTAGCCTTACATTTCATGATTTTCGTCTGAATTTATATATATTTCCCATTTGCGATACCCATTTCGAGGCATCGGCCAAAACTGGTTTACATTAAAGTCCAGTAGAAGAAGTTCCATCTCGGGTCCGCATCGTAAGCTATGCTCTCGCCCTTTCGGGAATGGCAGACGTGGCACGTTAGCTTTTTCAAGACTTGGAAGGAGGCGAAATGTGTCCGCGCATCTCCCGAATGAAGGATACTACTGCTATGAAAGACAGCAGGAGAAAGATTCAAGAAAATGGAAATTGGCATTACTCAAAGGTTCCTCGGAATTCGAGAAAGCAAGATTTTCTGGCCGACCACAGAGGGCTCCTCGACTGGAACGCGCTCTGCCCCGCGAATAAATAGCAGGACGTATGAGCACGTGGTCATGTTATTGTTGACACGGGACAGGTAGAAGATGACTCGGGACACAGCATCGGTGGAAAGCTGAACAGACCTTAGCTTTTTCCAATATGCTTTTTGGCCCCCAAACCATGTGCTGGCAGGCGACGTCAATTGCCGTTACCTTGGTGTTGCTCCACTAAAAAGTATTTATTTAGATATTTCGTCATTTTTATTCGGAACGACGGTCCAGGGATGTCACCATTGGGTAGAAAGTGGGTAGAAAGAGCGAACTGGGCAAGGTGCTACGGGCCATCCCTTCTTTGCATACATTGCGTAAAGGCAATGCTTCCAACTGGTTACTGCGAAGGGAACGATTCGCGCTTCAGAATAGCTTTGCATAGAGGCATCAAAAAAAGCATCCTACTGCTAAATATGGAAATTATAAGAATTCGTTTGACTAAGGCATATATTCGAGACATGCAAATGCGAAATGAATGAACACATGAAATAAGAAAAGAATAAAAACAACAAAAATCCAACGATCAGAAGGACACAACAGAATAATCGCATTCACGGAGCGCGTTCAAGCGTGCCTTGGCAGGGAAGGGCAGGAAACCGACGTTCCATAGGGATAAGCCCCTTGCCCTGTATAGGGTTACGTTCCGATGTAGTACAGCTGGTCTTACACATCGCTGAAGTACACGGTGTATAAGACTTCTTTACCATTAATGGTAGATTTGGATGGGCGGAAGTGGTGTAGCGGCAAGTAGCGCACTGTCTCACACGCTCGTCACGAGTTCGAATATCGGATGGATATCCGTCCAGGCCAACCAAGCCTTCCATCCTTCCGGGGTCGGTTAACTGGTACCAGATTTGCCTGAGAGGATAAAAGCAGTGACTTGTACATCGGCTGGCCACCGCAAGTCATTGAATAGGCCACACACGCATTCAATAGCCCACTACGATTCTAAATGGAAGCTGAATGCGTGGGCGCATCCCTCAAACGGGTGCACTAACGCCCGAAGACTTTAGCCTTTATCCTCTCAAGTGAACAGCTCGGGATGTTATCCCACAAGACTGAGCTGTCATGCTCACGAAAAAGTCATGCTTTGGAATGGATGGGAACGCACACTCAAAGTGCACAAGCAAACTTTTAATCGTTTCCAAATGGATGTGAATACATCTCTTTTTCTCACACGTAGACTCCAAAGCAAATACAAACAACGATGGGAATTGGAATTTTTACTAGCGAGTGGGAAAGCTTCGTACTTTACACTACTTCAGAACGAAATATTACAGGCGCTCTGTGTGACTGAGGTCTCCTACCACCTTCTCATCTTTTAGGCTCTATGTACAGCTCATTTAATAGGAATTCTGGGAATGGTTTAATGTTATGACCTTGTTTTTTTCGAATTCGAGGAAATAGTTAAAATTTAACAACTATGCCGAACTTTCCAAAAGAAAGAGTTCGGGGACGACGTACACGGCAGTTCAATATAATTCAATACCTAGCTATAAAATTACAAAAAAAACCAAGGGCGGAAACATCATGGCGGCCACGGAATGAGCTATGCTCATAAGCCTACCCGGACTCCAATTCCGTAGCAACCAGCGGAGTGCTTTTTGACGTTTTCAAATGCCTTTAAAAGATCGGGTTGTTCGAATTTTTCCAAGACCCCATGAAATCTTTCTACTGAATCCCGAGAGAAGAATACTCGCTAAGAAGGATTCGTCAAATTATTCAGATGCTCTGTGAACCAAGGCCATTCAGAGATTATAATGGTGATCATCAATTCACCCCTGTTTGTATTATGATAGTTTTTTTTTGTTTTTTTTGTTGGAGGCAGAGGTGATCTAGTGGCAAGTGGAGCACTTCAAAAATGCATGATCACGGACTCGAATCCCGGATCGATATCTGCTCAAGCCAACCATGCCTTCCGTCATTCCGGCGTCGATTAATTGGTACCGGGCTTGTCTGGGAGGATAAGAGCACTGACTTGTACACCGGCTGGACACCGCAAGTCAGTGTAAAGGCCTCATGCACTTAAGACATCACTACGATTCTGAATGGAAGTCGAGTGCGTGGGCGCATCCTCCAGACGAAGTTGATTAACACCTTCCAAGACTTTATCCATCTTTGTTAGCGACCTATCAACTGGAATTTTGTTTCACCCCAGCGCCTGGAACTAATCCAACCGTCCCGTAGAGCACTTCTTCACTAGTACCTTGACTCCGATTTGAACCATAAAATCGAATAGTGGCTTCAACACGGCCACTGGCATCTTTGTGCAGAACTGACTCCAGAGGGAGTGTTTTGGGAAGGAACTTGTAACATCCTCGCATAGCTTCACGCGCGACTCTCATGGGTGGTTCGGGGCTTCTTGCTATCACTGTTCAAGTATTCGAGCTCGTGGTAACCTAGACTTGAGAGGAGGGAAGGAAGCTTTCGTAAAAGTGATCCCACTAAACGGATAGGCAGGCAAGCAGTAGTCACCAAGTGCGACAAGTTCAAATGTGCGTTACCAAGTGGCAATTAGGCGGCGTTGAAAGGAGGAAACTGGTGGTTTCAACAAAAAGAACGAAAAAGACGTTTTTTTGCTTTTTTTACGCACGTGCGCTAAAAGCGTAAGCAAACACGGCGGTGCCATTTCGCGCGTTTTCGGCTATCTCTTTTTTCATGCCTTTCCTATTGAGCGGTCTTAGCACCCACACCCTCATTCAGAGGGGGGTACTCTTAGCAGCAAAGTTTCCTGTGTTCAACAGCATTGTTCATGAATTCTTCCTGCACATATACGATTGCATATTTTCAGTTCAGGATTCCCTGGCATGAGCTTGACACTGCACTGATTTTCGGCAATCATCGCCAGGAGACATGGAATTTACATACTACAGCCATGAAAAGACTGGAAAGGCAAAGAGCTTACTGTATAGAATTTGGTTTCCTCATAATCGAGCGCTTTGGTCACGTAAACTTCCCCGGAAGATTCGTCGATATCGAAGTGCTGCTCGGCAGGTGACGAATGAAGCCAGTCCTACACAGCTGGATTAGATAACTAGCACGAAGGAGGTAAAGAGCGGAAAGGACTTACTTTCAATGAATACTTGATGTTCATCCTATCTTGACTTACACCTGCCAAACGTGCTTTTACCGCATAGACATGCTCGTTCACTGGGATATCCTGAACGTTACCATCAAGAACCAGAAATCCGCAACTCGGACTCAAATATCAAAATGGTTCTATCGAGCAAACAACAGGCATTCGCAAACACTTTTTCATGCTTTATTCTGGTCGGAGACATGAAGCATCCCAGAATAATTTTCAAAAAATTAGTGTTCACACATTTGCCAGAGCTTTTCTCCTGCGAAATTTAGAGACATGAGACATTCTAGACCCATAACCTCGTATGGCTCTAATGCAATAGTGAAGCAGATGATAAAATTCCAAAAAGCGCATTAGTTTTCTTGGGAAATCCTCGGTAAAGTGTCTTGGCAACTAGCAAATTTGAAGAAAACGTTGCACATATCAGAAGTTATCTCTCCATCCTCCTCTTTCAATCCCTGGTCTACCAGGACGTTTTATGAGAGAGAAGTTTTGGAATTCAGCAGAGCAAAAACTCGGGACTGGGCTTGACTCTACTAAGCGTAAAGCTTTTCTTAATAAAATGAAGAGATATCGATCTTTGAATAAACTGTCAGCTTACAAAATTTCCCTGAAGAGGCTAACCTTGAGAGAAAAGTAGCTCTCCCGCTCCTACGAGTTAGAAGGGACCGTAAGACAACCCAAAAAGTGGTCAACTGAGGGTCCACTTCTAGGAGTGGAGCATTAGGAAAGGAAGGGTGAGGGATTTTTCTCGAAGCTATGCTTAACGATGACAGCTGATTCTCATTTCACCTAGGTTACGATGACAGTGGGGTTTGTGAGATCGAGTTCCATTCACGACCACTAACCGAAAAACTGCTATAAAGCGCCTTATCAGTTTCGGACACTGGCTTCAGATTGATTCTTGAAATAGGTCTGACTGGATTACACCGGTGGGCCCGAACGTGCATCTCTTCAAGATCAACGAACTTCACATCCCCACGGCTAGATAGGACGTTTTCTTATTATGCCTGGACCATGAGAGCAAAATTTTTGAATAGGAGTGTTTGAGCTACTTCTGCGCCTTTAACGAAGAACGTTCTCAGCATTTAGTTTTTCAATTAAGCCGAAGCACAGGCCGTTTTCAGAAAGTTTCTTGTTCAAGGCTACCTCTTAACTAGACAATAAATCTGGTCAATGGTCCTCTTCAAAGCGAACACCGATATTTACCTGCGCTTTTTTTCCGTCAGCCGTTCTCTTACTTGGCGAACCATGCACCAGGGGTCTTTTGATGAATAAAAGATTCACCGCGCTCAAGTTTTCAGTGTTCTTCTATACGGAATGGGTTGAATTATTATAACGTTTTCGAGACACTTAGTTCATTAGTTCCAAAAAGTACCCTTTCGAGAATTTTTTCCGAGAATTCGGTAGAAAGGTGAAGTCGAGGTAAGGGGCGAGTGAAGACCGTTAACAACAGAGGCGGTCCTGTTTGCCAAAATTTATGCACATTATCACTATATAATGGGGCTCTTCGATTTTGCGAAGTGGTACATGTGAAGGGACTCATTTTACTACCAACGCTTGAAATAATTATTATTTCAAAGCGCATATGAGTCTTGGATTCTTCGAATTCATGTCTGGGGTAGCTAGAAAATTCCATGGAATTCCGTTGATTAAGCTTGTATCAAAACTTGAAGATGTCCATGCGTTGTTTTCATTCAAGGTACGGTTCACGATGAAAATGGTTCTTGAGATTTTCCCATAGGATGAATTCGAGGTCCCTAATGATACCATATCTCGCCGATCTCAGGTTGAGAAACGTCGTGGATAGGGCACAATAAGGGGTCAGACATTGCATTTTGTGGATGTAATACCCACAGCGGACGGGTTCCAACGGTGTTGTAGAGGCTGCACTATCTCAACGGACTCCCATGCTGGAGGCTAAACAACATGTCATGACCCGTGGCGATAGTGGGTGCAGTTTCAAACAATTTTGACTTGGTCTAGTCAGCTCCTTGCGCAGTTGTAATGGTGAAAGCTCGTTCAGATACGCTTTCCATGTCATTTTCGTCATGGTAGTCTTTTACAAGGAAGGTCTTTCACGGCGTGGGACGCATTTTGAAAACGGGTTTCTGCATGGTGTAGGGGCATGAGCACTGAGTATTGAACAACGGTCCATTTCCGCTAAATGACCTTCTGAATGCCAAAAAAGTAGTGAATATGATTTTGTCAGAAATTTCCGTTTTATCCCACTAAGTGTCGTTTGTTTCATTCATGACGTCGACTGTCCGCAAAGCAGAAGGCGCCAGTGAACTGCGCACACGAAGCCCACATCGCTATCCACCACACCATCCGTCGCTGCCAGCACAGCTCAACCGTGGACAGCCCATATGAAACTTCCCCACACTTTTCAACATGTCGGTCCCTTTTCTGGATACCGTTCACGTTATTTTCGTTGCGCAGTCCACTGGCGCCTTCTACTGTGCGGACAGTCGACGCCATGAATGAAACAAACGACACTTAGTGGGATAAAACGGCAATTGCTGACAAAATCATATTCACTCCTTTTTTGGCATTCAGAAGGCCATTTAGCGGAAATGGACCATAGTTCTATACTCAGTGCTCATGCCCCTACCATGCAAAAACCCATTTTCAAAATGCGTCCCACGCCCTGAAAGACCTTCCTTGTTAGACCTCTAATTCCACTACTTTTGAGCAGCTTTATTTTTTTGCAAATTCGACGGAATTTCTGCTTTTTCCACCACATGCACCACTCTACCAACGCTTCCGTTTTTCATCTCGAAAAGGGAACCTCAAAAGTATCGTGAACTGTGCCATTAACTTCATTTTCGCAGAATCATTCTCTGTAAACCCGGAAAGGCTCGAAGCAATTAATGAGCATCGACCTCACGCTCCACAATCCTTTCGAAGCATAGTTGTGAACTCCTTGTGAGTTAGCTTCACGATACCGACTCAATAGTTCAATAGCACACAGCATACAAGAGGTTCACAGAAAGCAACTTTGAGGAGCTTATTGAAGTCTATTCAAACCAAAGATCTAATCACATGGACATGCAAGCCATTATCATCTCCCACAAAAAAGTATGTGATCCGAGGGGATTGGTGCCGGTTTTTTTGCGGTTGAAAAAATCGCTCAAGTACAGTGCTTGAACAGGTGATAGTCAAACAGATGGGGAGGATCAAAGGAACGTGAAAACGAGCTTGAGAGAATGGGGCAGCAACCAATCTAATCGTTCCAAAGAGATATACTGCCGGACGTGTTTTTGAGTGCCCCTTTTTTAAAAAAGTGACTCGAACTCAGCACTCGACAACACGTCAAGCAATATAGACCTCATTCCGAAGGCTACTTCGACTTAGAATTCTTACATTGCTAGCTGCGATTTTCGAATGGCATAGGTATCCTCTAGACCTTGTTACTGTGGACTGCAGCGGCACTGTTTGGCCTAGCGGAAAGTCTTTGAAGACGAAAGGAAATTCTTGAAGGTCTCAATACAGCAACCCTATAAGGTCTCAGAAAGTGGCGGTCTAGTTACAAGCTCGACGTCGAACCTCGAACCTCTTATCTGGAAGCTAGAAAAAGAGCTACTGACAGCCGCCGACAGGTTCACTTCAGTGCACTGCAAGGGGACCTGTGCTGTAGATATGCTCATCTCGTAGTATATACTCTTTCTATATAAGACTTAAAAAAAAGGAAAATCGCCCTAATAACAATCAATGGCCGGTCTACTTCGAAATGAACCCATAAAATGATTTCTCATATTGTTCGCTGCTATGGTTCCAGTTGTACGATTGAAAAGTCGAAGTTGAGAGCCTTTCCGGATCTGATGTTTCATGATCGGTCCTTTTCAAGAATCAAGGGTGTTGGATGAAGTTAAA